CTCGAAGGTTTTTTCCCCTCTATTTGATTTTACCCATAATGCTCTACGGCGACGCTTTGTGAGTTTATACACAACATTGCTTTTTGCGTTGAACGGGGCCACATAGTTGCATACAGAGTGCCCTTGCCAATGACGCCTGGAAAACCGACAGCCTGACACTGCTGATGAGTCTCAGAATGTTGAAACCGGTTTACAGTGAGTCCACCGAGGCTGGTGGACTCACTCGGATTTCTGTCTACATCTGGGGAGAGCGAGAGACGGAGGACAGGGTTCCGCTCACACCTTGCCCGTTACCCACGGTGGAATGCTGTAGGGTTAAGCGCTTGAGGTGCGGACAAAAGCCAGGAGACAAACGATAGCGACACAGCCAAAATATTTGCCCAGCTGTCCACGGTAAGCACAACAGCATCAGTCACAACGCCCCGCCGGGCACCGGGCGTTGGCAACGTCGCCACGGCGCTTGTGCCAAGGCTGGGTGCAGTTTTTTTTTGCGAGCCGAGTGGGAATCGGCGCAGGTGCCGTTGTTTTGAGTGAATTGACCCGCGTCAGTGACTGGGGTGACACGCACATCCAAGACGGAGTTGGCTCCCCGTCCCCTTCCCCCCACCATGTCGCCCCACAGACCAGGGAGGCAAGTGCTGTTAGCGAGCGCCTTTTAGGCCGACATGGCTGACACGGAGGAGCGGTTCAAACATGAGTGGCTACTGATATCAGCTGTTACGAGGAATGGGTCTGAGCTTGCTACTGGGTTTGGAGCTCAGTACGCTAACCACTCTGTCTGTCACTGCTCCTCCAACGATGCATACTGACATTCAAAAAAGACAGAGATCCCCCGTATAGCATCAACAGACTGTTGAGGCAAGTGCTGTTAGCGAGCACCTATGAAGGCCAGAACTGCACACGAGGGGGTGGATGGCCAGCACTACACCCGGCCGTCTTTGTCTCCCCAGTGGCAATAGTTTTTACACATCGCACCAGGTACTCAATTGAGGCTGAGTCTACCTAGGGGAGGAGGCCCAGGATAGGTTCCGATAATCGTCACTGGTGTTGGCCTTGAGCGGGAATCGAACTAGGGTCGCCGTGTTCGTAGCACAGCATGCTAACCGCTGCACTATCACTCCCCGCTGACATACAGGCAAACGCACACACGTGCGTGCACACACACATGCACATACACACGGACGCACGCACACACTGCACACACACGGTGACAAGTAGCCCATGAGCCAAGGGGGTTTGTCGGTACCACCTGGGGTGGCAAATGCTACCACTTTCCACCATGAGGAGTGTCCACCATGGGCCATGTTTGCCTTGGGCAGTGTCCAACATGAACAGAAGTCTTTGCGTATGTTATATACACACACACACACACACTTCTTAGTTGTCTTATTCCCCAGATGTTTCATATCAAATTACCTTTTTCCCCAATACGAACATTTCTACCTAACCTTTTACGGTCCCCTTCTTTGGGCACCTTAAGAGCAAAGCTACCGCACAGCCCTTGCTATCGCAGATATTCGTGGTCGAGAGATAAAATGGCTCAATAAAATCATTGGTAGCTTTTGCCACCCTGGCAGGTACCGGATAAGCCATTTTTGGCCCCGTGGGCCCCAAGGAACCAAAGCGACCGACCGCGCCGGGTAATGGTGGCGGCGTCGGCTGAGCGCCCCTTCCTCTCGCTCACAATTACGAGCGCCGCTCGCCTCTGCCGGTGTCCGCGGGGACAGTTTCACGGCACGCCACCGCCGCAACTTCCCACGGCGAGCGAGAAGCGCGTTGTTGGCTGCCTCTCAGCCGAAGGATGAGAGCGGTGCCGTTGAGCGCCGGTGACGGGGATTTTGCCTTTAGTGGAGCAAACGACGGGGGAGATCGGAACGAGGGATGGAAAACGAGAGGGGGAACGAAAGCATCGCGGGATCACCCAACGCCGGATTCGGCGTCAAGGCGATCAACTTGCGCGAACGAGCTCCGATGAAGGCCCGAGCGACGGCGTGAGTTGCCGCGGCGAGACGACGCTCGGCGGTGGCTGCCGTCCGCCAACCCCGAGGGGTTCCTAGCCACACGCTCATCGAGGCCCCCACCCGCTGCTCCCCACGCGACTTTTTGTTCCGCCCGGAAAACCGTGGCGGCTCCCATCAACCGCCTCGGAACGGCACCTCTCTCTTCCACGCGTGGTGGTGGGCGGGTGGGGGCAGGGGGCCACCTCCCCCCTCACCAACCACGGTGCAGGGACCGAGGCCACCAGAACCACACCGTGCACCACGTCGCGGCGATCGATGGCAACGGTCGACTGGGCCTGCGGTCCCCCGGCGGACTGGGTAGCGTTATGAAAAATAAGAATGGGTTTTTACCCTTTCTGGCAATAAAACCGGTAGATACCCTTGCATGTTTTGCCACAAGTACTGTGTGGTTAGCGCAGACTTTGATTCCTTGCAAAATGTATCTATTTGGACGTCTTAACGCATGTTTTATTGCCAGAAAGGGTAAAAACCTGTTCTTATTTTTCATACTTTGAAACTGCTAAAACGGTGCCAAGGAGAGCGCTAGTGGCACTAATGTAGAAGCTGTTATCACGTGGCTCACAACGCTCGTGCCTGGAGGTGTAGTTTACACATACTCGCCTTGCACCATGAGAAGAAACGTCTGCTTATAGCCCCTGCCTGAGCCATGGGTGGAATATTCCACATTACTATGGCGGGGGACGAGTCTTTCCATAAGACAGCCACAGTGGCGAGATGTTAACTACCTCGCTTGGTATACAGGAGGTTGTCGGTTCAATCCTAACCCTGATGCCTGCTGTTAATTTGGAGTTTGCACGTCTCTCTCTCTCTCTCTCCCCGTGGTCGTGTGGATTTTCTCCGGGTCCTCTGGGTTTTTTTCGTTCCGCATTTAAAATCTACAACACGCGTTTAGAGTATTTGGCTGCTTTAAATTTCCACACGATAAGCCACTTCGTTGAGCTTTCATTTGTGATAGCCAGGTCGCTTGTGAAAAAATATATATATATATAGCTCAGTAGGCCTTACATGGTAAACTTCCCTACAAAGTGTATATTTTAAAAAAATGTGAGCCCAGAGAGATGATGGGCCAAGTCGACCACCCACCAGGATTTGACCTCTCGACCTTTCCAATTGGGAGCCGCTCACTCTGCCGCTGAGCAACGTGGATTGATCGTGGATGGTGGTGATGGCGACTGTCTGGGCTCCTCCCACACGAAGCCAAACTCTCACGAACGGAATTGGCCAAATTTTACGTGCATGATTTTTGCGACCATTGTTATTCAGGACAGCCACTGTTGACTTCCCCACACACTTCTGGCAAACGCCTGATGATGCCGGTTGCAATCACCAGCAAGACGTCGTACTCAGTGGTAAATGTTGTGAATTAGAATCAGAATGTGTATTTATACTTGAGGAATCCGATGAGCTACAAAGCTCTTTCACGGATGTCCCGTAGGGACAGGTCAGAAAAATTACAACAAAAAATACAAAAACACGATCGGAGTGTTAAATATAGAAACGGTAAGCAAATGACAAAACAAACAAAAAATAATTTTACCAGGTACAGCCCACTGAACTATTTTTTTTCTTTCAGAAACGACCTGGCCACGAATGATAGCTCAACAAAGTGGCTTATAATGTCGACATTTAAGCAGTGGTAATGAATTGGCACGTTCTGTTCACGTGACAAACCTTACTAATTGTCTGTGTCGGGTGGAGGTGGGCATACGACACAGTAACATTCACCCGATCTAACAAAGGAGAAAAAAAAAACCACAACCGTTATCACGGAATTGGCCAAACATAACAGTGTAGCAGGGCCCTCTTAAAACACGTGGTTTTGAGACTCACTGAGACTTTGCTGAGTAACAAAAATAAACCTCAACGCACTCGTCAATAACACCGTGTGTGTGTGTGGCCTTTAAAAGGGAACAAAAATATACACAAGCGACGTACGGGCAACGGCAACTTGTTCACGGCGTGATAAAATAAGAAGATGTTTGACCCTTTCTGGCAATAAAACAGGTGTGTTAAGATGTTCAAACAGCAAATAGAAATCTTTTGCACGGCATCAAGTCTGCAGTAACCACACGTGTACTTGTGGTGAACATGCAAATAAAACATGCTCTCATAGTGTATGCATTGTCTTTGAAACCGATTCGCCTGCAACCAGAGACGGCAGCCTTCTTTAGGGCCTAGCCTCATCGCCAGCGTCAGACGAGAGAACGTCAAAAATGCGAACAGTACATTTCACCATCATTGCATTCATAGCTCGGGGTGAGCAGCTACGAAATTGGACCTTTTGTCCGGCATCACTGCTCTGGCTAACAATGGCGCGGGTAACGATGGCCCGGTTGTCTGCGAAGTCATCTCCCGTCCGTTTAACCCTCTCCCGTTCCGAGACGGCTGCAGGTCGCAGGCTTTGCGGTGTCCCGATCTCCCGCTGAATCTCGGAACGCGCAAGCGGCTCAGCGCTGTATTTTATTTAGAGAGGCGTAGCAGCGCCGTCGTTTTCAAAGACATTGTTCGCAATGGAGGTTTTGTTTGGGTTAGATCGCGTAAATATATGAATGTGTCATGAAACCCGCAACCACCCAACACGGCCAACTAGTAAGGGTTGTCGTGTGAACAGAACGTGTATATATTTACGCAATCTAACCCCCCCGAAAAAAAAACCTCGTGGATGATATTGGTCGCGAAAGCCTACGTGTTAAAAAGACATTGTTACTCGCCGCACAGAACCGTAGCGACGCGACCGCTGCACTCTACGATAGCCGGCGCCAAACTGCGCCGCGCAAACTCTCGCATGGCCCTGTGGGATCCTCGGTACGTCCTCCGACACGGTAAAGTTATCGGAATGTGAAAGGGTTAATCCCAAAGCAAAAAAAAGTACCCTCTTGTGATGTCAAGCCTGCTCGTGAAGACCCGCGTGTTGTTCGGTGTGTGCTGGCGCCCACGCCCCTTGAGCTGCTATGTCCTCCTCTGCTCTCTCTTTAACAGGAGCCTCACCCTCCCGAGCGCGAGCCCAGCCCCGTGGTGGCAGGTGAGAGCCCGGCGTCTGTAATGAGGCGTCTGCCTCGCATTGATCCATCCACACAGCCCAGCGATGAGCTTGTTTCTGAGATGTATAATAATAATAAGATGTACCGTCGTGTTTGTACCGCTTCTCTGGATTATAACAAAGACCGCGATCTTTTAAAATCTATCCCTCCGATTTTATCCCCGTTCCGCTATCGGCATCAGGGAATGAAGAATCCAATCGGAACTGGAGTTTGCGTCTTCTCGCTCCCCATGGTCACCTTTTTTTTCTCCGGGTCATCCGTTTTTTTTTTCCCCCCACATTTAGAATCAACGTGCGTTTACTGTATATCTGATTGCGGCTAACCCGCTGAAATAAAAACATGTTTCATCGTTTTTTTTTTTTAGTACCTTTGAAATGTTCAAATCCTCGTATACGTGCAGCTACCACACCTGTAATCCACAGTTTTCAGCCAACCTGCTCACTTCGCGCGCGTTAAGGGGGGTCGAACCCACCATGCAGCAGCGGATCGACGCGCGCCCGCTTAACGTGCGGACGTGAAGTTCCCCACCGGCACCGCTCGGCGTGCACGGGCGCGCGTCGAGCGGTGTCGCCCTCTCCGGCGAGGCGCTTTAATCACGGTGACCCGCCGTGACCCTTCCTAATCAGGGCGGTTGTTATTCGGCACGGTGTAATTTTGCAGAGGCGAAAGAGCCGCGTGGCCAACCTCCCAGCGAAGACTCCTGCTCCGTGGATTACAGCCAGGCACCAGAACCACCCCCCCCATCCACCCTCCACAACCCAACCCTGGGAGGGGAGACTTTGAACTCGAGACTAAAAATATAACTTGAGGTGTAACCGCACGCTGGCTCGGAGGCTTCAGGGGCTCTAATACGATGTCGGTGCACGGCGATGCAGCGGAACGGGTTAGAATCCAGGTTACGGCTGCCCGACCTTAATTAAACTGTAAAAAAAAAATTGGTTCTTACACAAGACAAAGATCCCCCCTATAGCCTTCACATACTTTTTGGGGCGAGTGCTGTTTGCGGGCACCTACGAGGGCCGGCACGGCACACGTGATTCTGTGCCGCCTGTGTAATAATCTCGACAGCACGGGTACCCATTCGATTAAGAATGGACACTGCCCATCCAGTGGTGTAAATGGGTTTCACCGCAGTTAGTTGAGCGGCAGATTGTGGTGGTGGGGAAAAACGTGGTCGGTGGGGGGGGGGGCACGGTGTGTCTGTGGGGGATCTTGAAGATGGCGAGGTTGACCAGAGCTGGACCTTGTTGCAGAGCTTCACGGTTCGACTCCGGCGGCAGCCCTGGTCAATACCGGGGGCGTTCTAAACGTGAAAATACCTCAGGCCGTCCGCTTCGCTCACAGGGGACGTTAAAGGTCCTGTGACGTTCGAAACAAGCAGGCCCATTGTGTGCCGGCGTCATGATCCCAACTTTTTGGAAAATTTGGAAAATGAATCCATAAAAATTACTCGGTTAGGATTATACATGGCAATCATCGCCCCATACATAGCGATAAAAAAAACTTAACTTGGCAGGATCCTCTTGAAAACAAATCATGAGACTCGGCGTTGCTTTCCTGGGTAAACAAGCGTGATACATAAAACTATTAATACATATTCATATTTTGATTTAAAGCTTTCGTGACTGCAGTAATTCATATTCTTAGTTTTTTCGGTAAAGTCACGTTGAAGAGAAACAACAAAATAATAAAATATATATAAAACAATTAAAAAATTCTCACGACGTTTCGACCATAACTCAAACGGTCATCTTCAGGTGTGTTGGTTTGCATAAATAAAAAAAATTATGCAAACCAACACACCTGAAGATGACCGTTTGAGTTATGGTCGAAACGTCGTGAGAATTTTTTATTGTTTTATATATATTTTATTATTTTGTTGTTTCTCTTCAACGTGACTTTACCGAAAAAACTAAGAATACATATTCATATTCTTGATTCTTTCGGTAAAGTCACGTAGAAGGGAAACAATCAAATAATAAAATTTTCTTGTTGTGGTTTTCACACCTGATGACGATTGCTTGTGTTGCAGTCGAAACGTCGTGAGAATTTTATTGTTTTATATTTTTATTATTTTATTGTTTCCCTTCTACGTGGTGGCTTTACCGAAAGAACCAAGAATATGAATCCCTGCAGTCGCGAAAGCTTTATATGAATACATAGCTGGGTACTCGCGTCCTCACCCCGCCATCGCCCTCCTCACTACCCCCACGACCCATACCACCCCCGCCACAGGTCCCGGTGAGAGCCCAGTGCCGCAGGGCACCGTGGACGGGAGAGGGGAAGCCCGGCCTGCTGATGAGACCCAAGCAACCAGAGACCCAAGGGACAAGAGCGACACGTGGATTCACTTTGAGGACTTCTGCACGGCCTTTCAGTGAGCGGCTTCCATCGGCATCACCATCACCAATCATTGTAATCATCGCCACCACTACCGCTATTATCTTTGTCATTACCACAAGCATCATTGTCATTACCGCTACCGTCATCATTATCATCATCACTGCGATCATCATAACCACCACCACTATCATCACCATCACCACGATCGCCAGCATTACCACCATTACCAACACCACTGTCACCTCTACCAACACTACAACCTACCGCCATCATCATTACCACCGTCTCACCACCACCATCGCCACCACCACTACCAACCTTACAACCACCGCTACCACTACTACCACCACCGTCACCACTACTACAATCATTATCAGCATGTTACACTTCCCAATTCATCCTCCTCATTATCATAATCGCCTTACTATTCATCCTATTCATCATCCTAACGATGATAATCAACCATCCCATCTCTCGTTTAAGAATACAATAACAACCTCCCTTTGAGTGCAGAGAAAACGAGCGATCTAAAAAGACTAAAACCTGACAAATGAAAGCTTGAATATGAAAGGAAAACAGAAATCAATGAGCGAACGAGCGAGCGAGTGAGCGGCACTGCCGTGCGTTTAATTGCCGTGTTTGCCTTTTGTGCTGCAAGGTCCCTACTCGTCTACCACAAGCCCCACACCTACGCGTTCAACCACGACACAGGCGACATGAAGGTGGGCAGGGGGCGGGGGGGGGGACTGGGGTCAGGGGGGAGCATCGCGTGCGGACAGCCACGTGTCACACCGCCACTTTGAAGCCCGCCAATCGCACGCATTTTTATTTCTTCCGAAGAGTGTGCGTGCGTGTGCATGCGCGCGTGGCGAGGATGTCTGCGTGTGTGCGTGCGAGCGAGTTCGATACCCGCTGACGGCCAACACCAGTTGACGATTATCTGAGCCGGTTATGGGTCTACGTTAGGTCGACTCGGCCTCAAATGAGTACCTGGCGTGGTGTTTAAACATCACCACTGGGTCCTAAAGCGTTGTTGTTGGACTGTTTGTTGTTGTAACGTTCTTACCCGCCCCTACTGGACATCTGGGAAAAAGAGCTTTATAGCTCATCGGATTCCTCCAATATACATAATTATTCTGATTCTGAAACATTTTGTGCTGTTGTTTCATAAAATCCTAATAAATTAATACATTGCTACTGGGGAGACAAAGGCGGCCGGGCGTGGTGTTGCCAACCCACCCCCCCCCCCTCAGTCTGAGATCACGATATCACAGTGAGTCTTGTGACATGACAATCGGACGACTGCGAGATAATCATCGAGATCGCAGTGACATCGCGATGACATCGGCGTGACATCACCATGGTATCGTGAACCTTGAGCTCACCAGGAAGTCAAAACGAGATCAGTGGAAGATCGCCATGACGTCGCTGTGCGATCACAATGAGATTGCAACCAGATAAACTATAACATTTTTGTTTTAGTCACCAGGTAAAGTCCACTGAGCTACGTGCTCTTTTTCAGAAGCGACCTGGCCACAAATGATAACTCAACGAAGTGGCTCATCATGTGGAAATGTTTTACGGACAAATACTCGAAAACGCATGACGTTGATTCTAAATGCAGCGGGAAAAAATTGGAGGACCCGGAGAGAAATCCCCGCGACCACGGGGAGAGAGACACGCAATCGCTGAATATTCAGGCGTCAGGGTCGGGATCGAACCCACTACCTCCTGTATACCACGAGAGGTAGCTAATATCTCGCCATTGTCGAGGCCACGGTGAGTCTCGCGAGACTCACCGTGGGCCCGCATATCCACGACGATGGGGACAGTTGCATGCGTGGCGCCTCGCCCGCCCGCCCGCCCACCCACCCGCTCGCCCACCCACTCGTCCACCAGGTGTTCAATGTGCTGGGTTAATCAGCTGCCCTTCTCCTCCGTGGCGCCCCCTCCTCCGAGCCCACGCATGCTTTTTTTACGCAGTGCATGGCGGTTCAATATCATCGCCCAGCGTTGGGGTACATCGGCTACCAGGAAGAGACATTACCCACAAAGAGGGTCCCATAGACATAGCTGCTCAACCCCGGCTGTCTCTGGTGTAGGCCAATCAAGACAATGCTTATACTGTATTATCAGAGCATGTTTGTTTGCATGTTTTACCACGAGAATGTGTGGTTAATGCAGAATTGATGCCACGCAAAAAGTATCTATTTGGTGTTTGAACATCTGAAGACCTCCTGTGTTGTTGCCAGAAAGGGTTAAACCTATTCTTATCTCATCATTATCCACGACATTGTTAGATGTGGTTTTAATGGACACCCACGGCACGATTTGATCCAGCTAAGAAAATCTTTCGACAAAAATCGTGGAATTTTTGAGTCCACGTTTTAATTTGATGATTGATTGATGATTGATTTTACCAGGTAAGGCCCACTGAGCTGCATAGCTCTTTCTTCAGAAGCGACCTGGACACAAATGATAGCTCAACGAAGTGGCTTATCACGTGGACATTTACAGTAGCAGCCAAATACTCTAAACGCGTGCCGCTGATTCTAAATATGGAGAGAAAAACCGCAGCTGGAAGACTGCTAGGCGGTGAGCCGGTGTTACCAACATTTTGCTCTGCAGTCCCTTACATTCTGAGACGTTTTCAGCCAATTAGTGAGTGTTTATGCCGCCTGCGGGAGGAAACCGGAGCACCCGGAGACAACCCCCCCCCCGCGTGCGAGGGGGCAACGCTCTATCCCACAAAGAAGGGACGGTTGATGATATCGGCCCACACTTCGCTGCTGCAGCGCATTCTGTCGGCGAGCCTGGGGGGTACGGCACTTCCTCGACGCCCACCTGTACAAGGAGGGAGTCTCGCAACATTTTGCCATTTGTGCGGTGATCCACCAAGCCTCGCCGTTGCTGCCGCCACAGTGCTGGATCACAGGCAGCCACGTGCAGCGTGGCCACCCGGACGACTTGATCTTGATTAACCGCGGCAGGCAGCGAACGCTCCTGCCGCCCGGCCGCGTCACCGCAGGGAGAGAGTTCCCCCTTCCATTGTCATCCCGCCGTCTCCATCCACGATTGCTCCCCTCCCCCGCCACCCCCCTCCCGCCTCCCCAAGGCCTTCTGTGTCGCCGGTCTCGGCTGCGTGCAACATTCTTTGTTCTTCTTGAATTTTTTTTCTTCTTTACATTTTTCGCGGCGAGCGGATCGCGTTCCGCTGTTTAGGTTTCAAAGAGGAATTGAGCGGAGGGTGTCTCTTGGGGGTTGGGGGGTTGGGGGGGGTGTTGGCGGGGGTGGGTGTGGGGCGAGCTTTTGAAAATACCGCTGGAAGAATTTGGCCGCGAGTTGCTCTTTGAAAATTAGATAATTGCCGCGAGAATCTGTACCCGACGCGACGTCGAAGGTGGAAGAAAATTGTTCGGGTCGATGGCGGGGAACTCGAGGGACGGGGCAGCGAGTCCTCGCTTTCAACGCTGAGCCAGCCGCCGGTGCATGCGATGAGACGCCGGGGTGTCGAAACCGATCCAGGGTTTTTTTGCTTACGCTGAATCAATGCCGCTGAAACTATTCACTCCCAGAAGGCGCTGGGTGGGGGGCGGGGGGGGGGGGGGTGGGGCCCGGTGTATTGCGTAAAGAATTACTGTTGTTATTTTATTTGTATATGTGCAGACGGATGTGTGATACGGACGTCTTTGTCCGCCCGTCCGTTGTGTTATTTTTATTCTCCGCGATGACGCGAATGATATTTTGCGTTAGGCTACGTACCATTTTGCGTTGGCCTAGGACCCGTGTCGAACATCGAGGGTCCTCCTTCGCCTTTGACAAACGGCAGTTCACCGGCGTTGCTTCGTGCAAGCCTGACTCCGTGTCTTGAAACCGGTCGAGAGTTGTTGCCTGCGCTGAATCAGTGCGGCTGAAATGATTACTTCTTAGAAGTTGCGGTGGGGCCCCGATCGGTCGTGTAAAATAAAAAAAAAGCTTGACAGATATATATATTTTTTTTAAAGTAACGTCGTGACATTTATTATTCTGCTCATCCATTAAACAAGGGTTGCAATCACGTTTGCATCAAACGTAATACGTGTCGGGGCAGAGTATGGCGAGCCTTGCGCTGCAATCGGTTTCATTTTAAAAAACACAGACTATCCGGGCAATCGTTTGTCATGCGCTGGGAATTCCATGGCAAGCGTGGGGGCGGCGGGGAGGGCGGGAGAGTTGCAAAGCGGCCTGTTGCAGGAGTTTGCGGTTCGCATCTGGCAGGCCGCCCTGATCAATCCCGCCGGGTGTATTCACCGAGAAAATGCTCCGCGCCGTCCGCCTCACTGACAGTCAGAGATGTCGTGCGGAACCGAGTTTGGCCCTCGCGTCCCGTGACCCAATAAAAAAAAATGACGCGCGTGCTGCTCATTTAGGATTACACGCAGTGAGCATTCATCGCCCCCCCCTACCGGCAGACTAAAGCCCGCTCGGAGGCCAAGTGCGGAGTCTCCTCGTGCCACATTGGGATAAGCTGCCACTGAGGACGCCCTTTGAAAACGTGTCGATTTGCGGTGCGATGCAAGTCGCGTATCGCATGTCAAGCGACCCGATGCTCCCCCAGGCTTAGATGGTGGCTTTAATTAACGAAAAAACTGTACTAGGTATTTGTAAGCCCGGGGGGGGGGGGGGGGGGGGGAAGGGGGGAGGGGTGGGTGATGCTGTGCTTGCGGCCTATCGCGTCCGAAGCCCGAGTTGGAACACGGGCCCCTCGGCGGTGCTGGGTCAGCCTCCTCTCCACCGGAGTGCGCCGCTCGTTTTGATTCCCGTCCTCGTGGATTTCAGAACGCCGCCGCCGCCGCCGCCGCCGCCGCTGCCGGAGGGAAAGCGGCGACCTCTTCCACCGCCAGCCTCTCCGCCACCATCGCCAAGGCCCCACAGGTGCGCCGGACCCATTAAGGCAGATGCTCGTTAGAGGCCCAGCGCTGATGGGGGGGCCCGGTCTAGTTAGGGCCCCCCCCGCCCCGCCCGCGCCCCCCCCCCTCGTGACACGGTGCAGGACGTGTAATGTTTCCACATGCGTGCCGCCTTTTAGATCCCTGCACCTGCGTGGAATTGGCACATTCGAGATCCCAGCGCCGCTGGTCGTGTCATTGTTAGAGCGCTGCGCTACAAACCCGGCGACATGAGTACGATTATGGCTCGTGAGTAATGAAAGTGGCGATTATCTGAACCGGGGCCGTCCTCCCCTAGGTCGACTTAGCTTTAAATGAGTACCTGGTGCGGTGTGTAGTAAACATCGCCAATGGGGAGACAAAGGCGGTTGGGCAGGTGATGGCCACTCACCCCCTCGTGTGGCGTGCCGGCCTTCATAGGTGCTCGCTAACAGCACTTGTCCCAGCAGTCTATTAAGGCTACACGGGGGATTTTTTTTCTTTTGCACCTGATTGTGGGTGCCATGGTGTGTATGAGTGCATGCCAGTGTACACAAGAGTGTTAATGCGTGCCAGTGTGTGTGCTAGTGTGCGTGCAAGTGTGCGTGCCAGTGTGTGTGTAAGTGTGCGTGCCAGTATGCGTACCAGTGTGTGTGTAAGTGTGTGTGTAAATGTGTGTGCCAGTGTGTGTGTGTAAGTGTACCGGCTCCAGTTTAACAGCAGAGGTCTCACTCTGAATCAGTCGAGCGGCAATATCTTTTCATCGGTTGCGTAACGCTGTGTGGAAGCTACCTGGTCTGTCGCTCCGCACTAAGCTTCAGGTCTTCTCGGCCACGGTCATTCCCTCCCTTCTCTATGCTTGCAAAACGTGGACCCCCCTAATGGAACATCTTCGCCAGTTAGAAACATTTAGGCTAGCCTGCCTACGATCCATCCTGGGTTTAACCAGGCTGGATTGTGTGAGGAGCTCAAGTCTTTGAAATATCTGGGCAAGGTCCCATCGGTGAGCTCCTCCGGCAGGCAAGGCTGCGTTGGCTGGGTCATGTAGCCCGCATGCCCAGCCACCGCATGCCGAAACAGCTTTTGTTCGGCCGGATCGAGGGGGCTAAATGGGCGCGGCACGGGTTAGAGAAGAGATGGAGTGATGTGGTACAGGAGGACGTGGAGCTGAGTGGACTTGCCGATGACTGGTACCAGCGGTGTCAAGATTGGCCTCTGTGGAGGAGGCTCGTGAAGGACGCTACTGGGCAGTTGGAGGTAGTCGCCCTCCAACAACAACGGAGGGCGGAGGAGCGATGCTCACAACAACGAGCGGAGCGCTGGGTGGCTAGAGCACAGCAGGTTGGCACAGTAGGGGGCACAGGTGGTGCATCAGCCAGTCATCTCAGTCATCTTAGTCAGTCGACCCGTGGCACTTGGGTCTGCCCCGTGACCTCCTGCCCGCGGGTGTTCGACACTTCACGTGGCCTCAAGGTGCACATGGCCTGGCACAAGCATCGTGGTGACGTAACCACCACTTAGTGGCGAATGGCGGTTGTTGTTGTAAGTGTGCGTGCAATTGTGTGTGCCAGTGTGCGTGCAAGTGTGCGTGCCAGTATTCTTGCCAGTGGGGTAGTGACGTGTCCCAGCGCTAGCGTTGTGTTCGCCGCTTGTTGCAGAGGTTCACGGTTCGAACCCAGCGGCCGCCCTGATTAATACTGCGGTTCAATTAACCGTGATTATGATACTCGGCATCGTCTGCTTCACTTACGGCGTCACGGTCCAAATTTGGCGAATTCTAAAACTTTCCCGCAAAGTCACTCCATTGGAATCTACGTATCATTACGCCGGCGTATCGATGCGTGTGCGAGTGTATTTTTACATATATGCGTTAGATCGTGAAGTCGAGTTTGCAAGCGTAATCTTGCAAGTGCCAATTGAGTGTGAGCGTGCGTACAAGTCATGCGCGACAGTGTTAATGTGCGCTCGCGTGCACTCGAGACCGCGTGTGTGTGTGTGCGTGTGTGTGTGTGTGTGTGCGTGAGGGCGTGTGTGTGCGTGAGGGTGTGTGCGTGAGGGTGTGTGCGTGAGGGTGTGTGCGCGCGCGTGCTTGGCAACATTACACCACGGGCTGGCCTATCCGTGCCGCGAGTTAAAACACAATTGGATGGGGCAATTCATTCTGCCAGAGCCGCGATAACTGCCAGACAGGCTGCTCGCAGGTAGCGGCGGTGCTGATTAAATTATACCGCGGCCTGCATAAATTTCACCGCTGTGACCGTGATACGTTGGGTGTGACTTTGGGGATGAATTAAGGCGAATGGGTGGCGGCAGCGTCCCGTGGTCGCACGCGGTGCGCGCAGTGGTCAGTGCGCGTCGGTGAAGTTGGCGAGCATAGACGCGGGAGAATAGTGCAGTACAACAGTGGATTATGCGACGTAAACCCCGCGGCAGCCTCTCACACCGGTGGACGCTCATCATCCACGCGTTATGCGGGCTCGGCCCTGCTTGGCTTCCAGAATATCCAGACATCGGGTGGTCTCTGGGTGATCACCCACCCACCCACCCCACTCCCAAACAATTTTGCTGTGTGTCACGTTGGCCTCCATAGGTGCTCGCCAACAGCACTTGCCCCAACAGTCTGTTGAGTCTACACAGGGTCACCGTCGTTTCTGCGTCCGCGTGCGTGTCTGTATCTCTGCTTGTGTGGTGAGCGGTAGTTGCAGCGGTTCGCGCGCCACGCTCCAAACCCGGTGACCCGCGGGACGACCTATTGTCGTCCGTGCGTCCGTGCGTACGTGCGTGTGCGTACGTGCATGTGTGAGCGCGTGTACATTTGTCTGTCCGTGCGTTCCTGTGCCAGGCTGGGGTAGAGGAGAGAGCCCCACTCTACCTGTTGATGGACAGCGTGGGCCCGAGTCAGCTGATCGTCTGCCTCTCCGTTCTGCCCCGCTGGGGAGCGTTTGGCTGGCATGAATCGCGGAAAGGTGAGCTGCATGATCGACCCACTGCTGGATGGACCAAGGTCTCCACGAGACGTTGCCAACTCTCACGGTCCCCGCAACGCACCCAGTGCGATGCAGCGCTCGCGGGCTGATGCTGTCGCTCCGTTGTCGCCAACGTTCAATAAAAGTAATTGCACGCCAGTTGTGAGGCGAAATCACTGCTTCTGAGATCTCGTCAAGTGACCTCTTACCCACACACACTCGGAGGTAGCACTCGTCCACCCTCCTTGAGACAGGGATAAATGTTGTTTTACTTCTAGCAGCGGGAGAATTACATAATGCTGGAGAAGGCGGTTTTATTTCAGGCAACTTAAACCTGGACTCGAACCCTGGGACCTCGGCAGTGCTGCACGGGGTTATCTTCGTCTTTGTTTGTCTTTCTCACCCTCTCCTCCTCAACTGTCCCTCATCCTCATCCCTCACCTCTGCTCACCCTCACCTGCTCCACCCACCTCCTCCACTCTCCCTTGTTCACTGTGGCCGGGCCGGCGTCGATTGGACGCACCTTCGTCGCCAGTTGAAATCTGACGCAGGGAGCCCCCGGTGACTCGGTCGCTCGGGATTCATCTCTCGCGGAATATTTTCCGGACCGCTGGGTGGACTGGAGAAGGTCCGCGCCCTCCAATGGGCACGGTTGGCTGCGTACGGTGCTTTAAATAAGTTCAACGTCCATAATGCAGGCTTTTTTGGGGTTAGATCGCCTAAATATATAAATGTGTCGTTAAACCCGCCACCACCCGAAACAGCCAAGTTGTAAGGTGTGTCACTTAAACAGAATGTGCCGATTCGTTACGAGTTCAGCAACACCGGTGTGTTGGAGAGTAAATCCACAACATTTACAATCAGAGTACGACGTTCCGCCAGCAATTGCAACCAGCTTCATCAGGCGTGCATTGGTGGTATGCGACTCGGACCCGTTGCCACCAAGGCCAAGTGGTGGCGTGGCCACACAAGGAGTGGCGGTGCCCGCGGAGGGTCAGGATGATACGTTGTTATTTTTCGCTGCAAGTAATCGTTTATGTAAAATACGGAATGATTAAAAATTCTGTCCCGTCCACGTGAATAATTGAACAATTGATCAAACGGCGCAGATACGGGCGAGGGGGGCGGAGGGGAGCGAGCGTTTAATTACACTCACCCTCCCTCACCATCACTACTCACCCTCCCTCACCATCACTACTCACCCTCCCTCACCATCACTACTCACCCTCCCTCACCATCACTACTCACCCTCCCTCACCATCACTACTCACCCTCCCTCACCGTCACTACTCACCCTCCCTCACCATCACTACTCACCCTCCCTCACCATCACTACTCACCCTCCCACACCATCACTACTCACCCTCCCTCACCATCACTACTCACCCTCCCTCACCATCACTACTCACCCTCCCTCACCATCACTACTCACCCTCCCTCACCATCACTACTCACCCTCCCTCACCATCACTACTCACCCTCCCTCACCATCACTACTCACCCTCCCTCACCGTCACTACTCACCCTCCCTCACCATCACTACTCACCCTCCCTCACCATCACTACTCACCCTCCCTCACCATCACTACTCACCCTCCCTCACCATCACTACTCACCCTCCCTCACCATCACTACTCACCCTCCCTCACCATCACTACTCACCCTCCCTCACCATCACTACTCACCCTCCCTCACCATCACTACTCACCCTCCCTCACCATCACTACTCACCCTCCCTCACCATCACTACTCACCCTCCCTCACCATCACTACTCACCCTTCCTCACCATCACTTCTCACCCTCCCTCACCATCACTACTCACCCTCCCTCACCATCACTACTCACCCTCCCTCACCATCACTACTCACCCTCCCTCACCATCACTACTCACCCTCCCTCACCATCACTACTCACCCTTCCTCACCATCACTTCTCACCCTCCCTCACCATCACTACTCACCCTCCCTCACCATCACTACTCACCCTCCCTCACCATCACTACTCACCCTCCCTCACCATCACTACTCACCCTCCCTCACCATCACTACTCACCGTCACTACTCACCCTCCCTCACCATCACTACTCACCCTCCCTCACCATCATCACTACTCACCCTCCCTCACCATCACTACTCACCCTCACCGTCACTACTCACCCTCCCTCACCATCACTACTCACCCTCCCTCACCCTCCCTCACCCTCCCTCACCATCACTACTCACCCTCCCTCACCATCACTACTCACCCTCCCTCACCATCACTACTCACCCTCCCTCACCGTCACTACTCACCCTCCCTCACCATCACTACTCACCCTCCCTCACCATTACTACTCACCCTCCCTCACCCTCCCTCACCCTTCCTCACCATCACTACTCACCCTCCCTCACCATCACTACTCACCCTCCCTCACCATCACTACTCACCCTCCCTCACCCTCCCTCACCCTCCCTCACCATCACTACTCACCCTCCCTCACCATCACTACTCACCCTCCCTCACCGTCACTACTCACCCTCACTCACCTTCACTACTCACCCTCCCTCACCCTCCCTCACCCTCCCTCACCATCACTACTTACCCTCCCTCACCATCACTACTCACCCTCCCTCACCCTCACTACTCACCCTCCCCCACCATCACTACTCACCCTCCCTCACCCTCCCTCACCCTTCCTCACCATCACTACTCACCCTCCCTCACCCTCCCTCACCGTCACTACTCACCCTCCCTCACCATCACTACTCACCCTCCCTCACCATCACTACTCACCCTCCCTCACCATCACTACTCACCCTCCCTCACCATCACTACTCACCCTCCCTCACCATCACTACTCACCCTCCCTCACCGTCACTACTCACCCTCCCTCACCGTCACTACTCACCCTCCCTCACCATCACTACTCACCCTCCCTCACCATCATCACTACTCACCCTCCCTCACCATCACTACTCACCCTCCCTCACCTTCACTACTCACCCTCCCTCACCATCACTACTCACCCTCCCTCACCATCCCTCACCCTCCCTCACCATCACTACTCACCCTCCCTCACCATCACTACTCACCCTCCCTCACCATCACTACTCACCCTCCCTCACCGTCACTACTCACCCTCCCTCACCATCACTACTCACCCTCCCTCACCATCACTACTCACCCTCCCTCACCCTCCCTCACCCTTCCTCACCATCACTACTCACCCTCCCTCACCATCACTACTCACCCTCCCTCACCATCACTACTCACCCTCCCTCACCCTCCCTCACCCTCCCTCACCATCACTACTCACCCTCCCTCACCATCACTACTCACCCTCCCTCACCATCACTACTCACCCTCCCTCACCGTCACTACTCACCCTCCCTCACCATCACTACTCACCCTCCCTCACCATCACTACTCACCCTCCCTCACCCTCCCTCACCCTTCCTCACCATCACTACTCACCCTCCCTCACCATCACTACTCACCCTCCCTCACCATCACTACTCACCCTCCCTCACCCTCCCTCACCCTCCCTCACCATCACTACTCACCCTCCCTCACCATCACTACTCACCCTCCCTCACCGTCACTACTCACCCTCACTCACCATCACTACTCACCCTCCCTCACCCTCCCTCACCCTCCCTCACCATCACTACTCACCCTCCCTCACCATCACTACTCACCCTCCCTCACCCTCACTACTCACCCTCCCTCACCATCACTACTCACCCTCCCTCACCCTCCCTCACCCTTCCTCACCATCACTACTCACCCTCCCTCACCCTCCCTCACCGTCACTACTCACCCTCCCTCACCATCACTACTCACCCTCCCTCACCATCACTACTCACCCTCCCTCACCCTCCCTCACCCTCCCTCACCATCACTACTCACCCTCCCTCACCCTCCCTCGCCCTCCCTCACCGTCACTACTCACCCTCCCTCACCGTCACTACTCACCCTCCCTCACCCTCCCTCACCCTCCCTCACCATCACTACTCACCCTCCCTCACCATCACTACGGTGTCCTTTGCGGGCAGCGAAGCCACGAGGTTTCTTGTTTTAAATCACGAGTCCCTCCGCTAACGAGAGCTTGCGGCGCTTAGCGGTTTTGCCGCCGACCCTCGCATCGACGCCGGCGAGACGCCGCTCGCCACCCGGTTACCGAGCCCCACGCCCCTCCGTCGCCGCCGCCGCCGCCCTGCGAGACTCGTCTCTTTGTGCCGAACGGTAGCGTCAAAAATTCACCGCCGGGAGATCGTGCCGCGGCTCCAGGCCGTGAGGAGGGTGGGTAGTTGGGGACCCTCGCGGCTGAGACCGTCCGACTCGCCGCACTTTGTTGAGAGATCCGTCAAATTACCGGCGGCCAGATGCTGGATTCGAACGCGGGTTTTAAGCGGTGCTGGGTCAGTGTCCATCGGATTGCCGATGTGAAACCCCTGAGCCGCACCTACGATTGTCACGGTTGGCTACGTACAGTGCGAAAGAAGTTCCACATACATTCGGGCCACAGGGCTTCAAGCTTGTCACCAAATCTAACCGTGACCTTGCGGTTTATTCCTTGAGCCCAAATCACCCAGAATGCAACGAAAATATCATCTTGTCTTGAAAGCTAAGACGGGTGGAGCCTGGACAGCGCTTGGATGGAAGACTGTGCGGGAATACCCCGAGTCTATAGCCTTGGGATGCAAGGTGGCCAGATGCCTGTCCAGCGATGAATTGATAAAATCCATCTGCGCGGAGCTTCAAGTGTTCAGGTTTGGCACGACTGCGTAGGATTTCGACCATCGTGCTGTGCGGCTCTCCGACGCGTTTCCGGGTCGGACCGCGAGTTTTTTTTCGGCATGATGTCCGACGTTTCGCTCCACCTGCCTCTGGGATCCCTTCAAGTGACATCTTGAAGCGGGCAGCACTTTCCCAATCGCCCCTGTCACACGGATAAATATATTCATTCTCGGTTGCAATCTATCCCAATTAAGTGTAGAGCCAAGTTTAATGTCGCAAC